CATGGGACCCCGTGATGTTGGAAAATGCGGGGGCAAGGAAGACTTAAAGATGGGATACAAAATGATACAAGGACAGGTAAAAACTAGAAGGGTAAAGGAAAAGAAAGAAGGCAGGTAGAGAAAAAAAGAATTTTTACAAATAATTCAAAAAACATGCCTAGCTATCAAGAGTAATGGCATCAAAAAGCATTTCTAAATCAACTGCCAAAGCATTTCTCACATGTCTTATGAAAAAGTTCTAAAAGCACACTCACCAAAAAATGAAAGGAAATTTAAAGATACATATGACAAAATACCGCTAAATAAGTGTTAAATAACGTCCGTATCTTAGAATTTGCTTCATCCTCTGTTCTAAAGAAGCTTGGCCACAAAAGAGCAATTACCTTCTAAAATTTTCCCCCAAGATAAAGATACCCAGAATGCGATGCAGCCATTAAAAATGCTGACACAGATCTTACTGATATGTGAAAACATCCCGAAGTTTTAAATACAAGCTACAGAATCACAGCGACCGCCCAATGCCTCTCCAGCCTAACCTCTAACCTGGAGTCAGCCAGCAAGTGGGACTGGAGTCACCAGCGACGCAAGCCTCCGACGCGCGCTACACTGAGAGCTCGCGGCGTCACCTGCGCACCTTGCTCCTCCGGGATCCACTCAGGCACCCAGACGCCTGAACCCGGAGGACAGTGGGCGGGCTCCGCGTGAGGACAGGGACTCGGAGATCAGCACCCGTCAGGGACGGCGGTACGCGGGGAAGTCTACGTCGCTCCCACGGAGAGACGAGCACCGGAGCGCGCGTGCCGGGCAGAGGCGGCCCGCAGCGCCCGACCCGAGGCGGCGGCGGACGGGGCGCGACCAGGCTGCCCTGCGCGCCTCTCTGGCCCCGCGAAGGTCGGCGGCAGCAGCGAGTCCCGGCTCAGCGGCCCGCGGCCCCGCGCGCCCTCCCATCCTGCCCGCTCTACCGCTCTCCCTCACCCGCAGTGTCGTCCGCTCGCTCGCCCGCCCGCAGGCCCACTTCGGGACGCCCAGCTCCGCGAGCGACGCCGCGATAGGCACTGACTGGCAACGCTCCGCGGCCGCCGCGCCCCCGCCCCTTTGTGACGCCCCTTCCAATCGCTTGCCAGCGCTCGCGTGTCCCTCCAATCAGCGGGGGCGGAGGCGGGGCCTGACCGCCGGACGCCGGCGGTTGCTCGGAGTCGGGGACTCCTTTGCGTTGGGAGGTTGCTGGCGCTTACGAGAGGCCCGGATGTTGACTCTCTATTGCTAACAGCGACCACCTGACTCCGGCCCAAGCAGGCAGCTGAGGGCTAGCTGCACAGCCTGCTGGGAACGGCGGGGTTGGCGCCCAGTGGACGAGAGCTCCGGAGCGCCTTCGCTGACACCCGCTGAAGGCTCTCTTGGAGGTCCCAGGCAGACGCTGTCCAGTCGGTGGACTTGTGCGTTCCGGACTGGCCTGCCCTGAACAAATTCCCTTTCCTGGGCTTCTCCACCCCCTAACGTTTCTGGCCTCAATGGCCTCATCTGAAAAATGGGGATATTACCGTGCCTGGTTGAAGACAAGGGCGAAAGCAAATAACCTTCTGTAGGCCCCATCCTGTTTACTGAGGACCGCAGGCGGTAGAGTGGGCACCCTGGCTCGAATGCCAGCGTTCGGTAAGCCCAGCCACCCTTCGTTCCTGCGGCAGCTTCCAAGCTGCTGAGCTGGGGTGTAAACCGTGGGCCCCCACTGCTTCGTTCCCCACACAGATGGTTCCTAATAGATTTTCCAATTCTGTTAACCTACTTAACTAGGTAGATCACTCAACTGACAATGAATGTAATCTCTCCCGCTGCAGGTTCACTCGTGCTCATCACTCAACTTGACTCAGGAACCGTCTAAGATGAAACTGAACACCTACCGTCTTGTCTCCCATCCTCTCTCCTTCTCCTCTGAGATTGACCCTACCAACTAACTTATCTCCACAGTTCAAAAAGCTACTGTGCATACACTGGGGTGTATGGTGAAGCACTGGACTTTCATTCCTCTTTCTTGCCACTAGTTCCTTCTTAACACATTGACTGCCAAACTAGAAAAAAACTTGGAAACAAAATGATCCTAATTTAATGAAAAATTTGTTATTGTGTACTGTTTTCTGTGCGTGAGTTATATGCAACTTAGGCGGTGCTAAAAATCAATTTTTTTTTTTTTTTTGAGACAGAGTCTCGCTCTGTTGCCCGGTCTAGAGTGCTGTGGCGTCATCCTAGCTCACAGCAACCTCAAACTCCTGGGCTCAAGCGATCCTCCTGCCTCAGCCTCCCGAGTAGCTGGGACTACAGGCATGTGCCACCATGCCCGGCTAATTTTTTTCTATATATTTTTAGTTGTCCAATTAATTTCTTTCTAATTTTAGTAGAGACAGGGTCTCGCTCTTGCTCAGGCTGGTTTCGAACTCCTGAGCTCAAACAATCCGCCCACCTCGGCCTCCCAGAGAGCTAGGATTACAGGCGTGAGCCACCGTGCCCGGCCTAAAATCAATTTTTACACTGCATGCCAGCTTGAGTTGTATGTGACTCATGACATACTTAGTGAATTTGTTTTGGATAACTGAGTCTTCGTATGCTTCACAAAGCCCCAGGCTGAAAACTGGCAGGAGTTAAACACATCTTGCGTGGCAGTTAATGTGTTAAACTCTGGAGACCCCTGACCTAAGGAACAGAAGGAAGATGCACAAAATAAATAGGGAAAAGGAGTAGGTAACTAGTAAGTACCCTCTTCTGCCACTGGGTCACTCTCACAGCAGAGCAGGGCAAACGGCTGGCCTGTGGGAGCTGTACAAAATCTTTGACTCTGCGTATAAGTAATTCCTGATCTGATCAAACAATGCCCGAGGAAGACATTAGTGACTTCAGGATTGGTGAGGCCAACCTAGCTGGCCTACAAAATTGTGCCATGATTACAGACTGAATACTCAAAAGCAAGACAAAACTGCACAGAAAAAGACTGTAACGGGTGAGCGACCCACAGGGCTAGCGACTACTGCACTGGATACAGAACATTCCCATCAGTGCAGAGTTCTATGTGGCAGCGCGCTGCAGAGACTGACATTTCCATCCTCAGCACTTCTACTACCTGGGTTCATTCTGCTGCCTCTACAAGACAAGGATGGAAATGGATGCCTTAGAGCAAGGGTCAGCAAACTGTTTCTGTCATGGGGCAAACAGAAAACATCGTAGGCTCTGTGGGCCATCCAGTCTCTGTCACAATTACTCAACTCTGGCTTTGGAGGTAGGATGAAAGAAGTCACAGACAACACATAAATAAATCGGTGTGGCTGTGTTCCAATAAAACTTCACTCACAAAATCAGACAGTGGAGGGGCTTAGTTTGCCAAACCTTGCCTTAGAGGACTTGTAGAGGCATCTTCAGAATTCAGTATAATCAGTGGAAACCTCCTCTCACATTGCTAAGACTTATGAAGGATAAACTCATTTTCTTTCTCTTCTACCTGCCCAACCCCTACGTTAGGGCTCCTATCCATGTAATGAACACTCCTGGTCATCTGTCTTGCATTTGCTACCTTTGAGTTTCCCTGCCCACCCATGAAAACCACGAAGAGATTTCTTCTCTAATAAGTCCTAAATCATATTGTGACCACACCAAGGCTGATTAAAGCAAACTATAATTAAAAACAAACCAACCACTGTGAAACATTTATTTTTGTTTCATAGTATTAAGCATGATTAAAACCAGTGCAAAAAAATACTAAGTACATTGGGTAAAAGGTGAGCTAGCTGTTTTAGTATTTGCTTTTTGTAATCCAGTTAAGCCCATGAGCATATAAGACATCATCACTAACTCAAGGATGTAGCTAAGGGTAAGATGCGAACACCCTGTATGCTCTACTGGCCTCCAAAGGCATTCAGGGGATCATCAAATATGCTGGACGCCTTGTGTTCAGATCTTGATTCAGGTGCTGCTTGTGTAGATCGGCTCTTTGGTTTGGTTGTCTTAGCTTGGATACCAGAGGAGAAGATATCATCTTTAAAAAGAAAAAAAAAAGTTGTTAAACAGGCAAGAAAATGGGTGGTTTTAAGACACATCCAAACAAAGCACCAAAGACCCAATTCTGGAAACAGTATGGGTACCCAAAGACAATAATATAGAACTCAAGCTTCTTAAGATTCTGCTCCTCATTCTGTTAGTAATTTTTATGATTACGTACAAGTCACAGGTTCTTTTCGTGCCCAATTTTCTCAGCTACAAAAATGTGTGTATGTGCACGTACAAGAGAGGAAAAAGGGAGGGGACCCTGGATCTCCAACTCAGCCCTGACCTTACTATCTGTGACGCTGGACTTATTTCTACACTCTTTTCACACTGGTTTTAAAAGGAAAGAGCGATAAAAATATGGAAAGGGAAATCCAATATAGGATCCACCCTCTTTCAGAATAAATTCATGGATTTGAGGCGTCTCAATGATAAGAATGTCTCTGTGACTACATTCACGTTTAGTGTTTCACTGACTCTAAAGCTCGTCTCAGTTGTTACTTATCCAGTAATGCTATTGTTAGGATTCTATCCTCTTGTGATTTTAGCATTGTGCACACAAATCTTAAAGACCACAGCCTTATTGGTAATAGAGCAACTTTAGAAACAATCTAGATCATCGCCAACAGGTTAATGGCTAAATACAAAGCAGTACTGTACAACCACTAAAAACAAGTAGATCTCATGTACTGACATGGAAAGACATTAAGTGACTAAAAGGAATAGCAGAGCAGATAGAGGATATTCTTATTTTTTTTGAAATGGGTATATATTTACATGTACACAAACACTGATATCATCAAGTCTGAAAGGATATACACCAAACTGTTAACATTGGTTATCTCTAGGCATTGTTTTTCACTTTTTACATTTTCTGAATTCTATAAATCTATTACAATAAGCATGTATTACTTTTTTTGTAATAAAAGAAACAAATGAAGTCTCTTCCTCACCCTGTGGAGTGAGAAGCAGGGGGAGAGAGCACACGCTGGCTGCGTGGACAGACCCAGTGTGGCTCTGCAGCACCAGCGGTCTCCCAGTTACCCTCAAGGTCTAGACTGGGGGTGGGCTGGGGGTGTGGTGGGAAGCGTGTATTTGGCCTCAGCCTAAGTCCTCTCTACCAACACAGGTGTATCAGAGGCCCAACATTTAGGGTTATCGGACATTTAGCTTGACTATTAACAAAGTAGAAGTTGTACCACGAAGGGAAGACACATTCGTAAACACTGAAGATCTCTGTGAGACGCAAAGTCTGAGTTATAACACAATTCCTCCTCCTGCGTGGGCCACTGACGCTCTCCAGCTGGGACTCTGACTGACCAACTGCCCACCACACCCAAGGCAACCACCTCAGCGCACAGTAGCATGTGGGGTAGTTTCTGATTGATCCTCCTTTCATAACATCAGTGTTTGTCACAGATGATTGGCAGGGTGCACTAAGATAAAAGTTAAATTATACTTAAAGCTCAAATTTGGGTACCTTCAAATTCCTTGATGTCCATAATACCAAGGTTCTTCACCAAAATGACTAGTCCATTTAGTTATCCACCCTCAACCTAACTCAGGATTACATAGTAAGCTGAAGGAAACCCACTAGGGCTCATTTTCCAAGAAATGGCCAAGCAGGAGAAATACCAAGTAACAGAAAGGTAACGATTCTCTAGGTCAAATGTAGAAAACCAAACTTACCCATATCATCATCAAATATAGACTTAGCTTCCACTTTCTTTCTGGACTTTTCTTTTGGTTTTACAGTGAGGTCAGCAAAGATATCAATGTTATCATCAAATAAGTTGGATTCCAATGTTCTCTCCTTCTCTCTTGTTTTTTGAGAGGGTTTAATTGCTTCTGTAGCAAATATATCATCCTTGTTATGCCAAAAAACAAGGAAAATAATTATAAAACATTTTTTTAAATTAAAAACACTTACTTCAACAAGCTGTGGAAATGCAAACTGCTGGGGTGCTGGGGAACAGCCACAAGACCTGCCCCTCTGCCTGGAATGCACTACCCCAGATCTCTGCATGGCTTGGTCTTGCTCTTCCTTACAGTCTCAGCTCAAACGCCAGCTCTGCAGCGAGCCCGTCTCTCCGTCCTACCTGAAGGAGTGCCTCCCACCCCTCCTCACCACTCTACCCCAGGTTATTTTCTCCAGGCCACTAGTGCTATCTGAAAACACCTTAATTACCTATGGCCCTGTTTGTACTCGATTCCCCTCCCTGAGGGCTCCGGGGAGCAGAGTACTTGCCTCGTTCACCTTGAGCCTACAGTTCCCAGATGCTCCTTAAACGCATCTGTTGAGCGAATGCCACTGAAGGCCACGCTGCCTGCGCTAAATCATCAGCTCCAGCCAGGGCCTATTTCCCCAGAACCAAAGGTTAAACGATCAGGCTGGACCGATACGGCTTTATGTACGTCACAAAGCGGCACGCAAGGAACCTGACTGCAGCGACAGTCTATAAAAATAACAAAACTCAAACTATAAAAACTAAAGAATTCAAAACCTGTATCAATGATCATGGCAGCCAAGAACTACCCCCTGAATGAAACAAACAAAAAAACCCGCTTCTGAGTAAATTTCAGACTTATTAATAAAAGAGCTTAGTTATAATTATTATACCCAAGCAAGTAGGTATCGAGCATGCATGACACACAGGCGTTACGTAATCTATGGACCAAATGGGCCAATCAGATATTTTCCTTAACACAGAACCAGGCACAAAAACGTGTTATGTCCTATTACCTCAAAAATATCTTGTGTTTTTGATATGACATCCTGCTGACTGTTGGATTTTGACTCTTTCTTCTTGCCTTTCTGATCTGTAAAGAGATCGTCCTCATCTTCCAGGAGAGGAAAGGGATTTGTTTTCTTTGCTGGTTTTGGTTTAACAGACTGAAAGAGATCATCATCACTGCCCGCCTCGCCCAGAGCAGGGAACATGGCGCTCCTTCCTTTACCTCCCCCTGGCAGGCTGGCTGGGGTCTCTGTTGCTTTTGCCTTGGCCTTTGTTTTCTCCTTGGAATGAGAGCCAGTGCCCTTGGAAAAGATGTCCCCGGAATCAAAAAGATCAGCCTCACCTCTGGGATGACCCAGAGACTTTGCAAAGGGGCTTCTGTCCACTCCATGCACAGGATGGCCTTCCCAAGGTGGAGCAGCAGCTGCCTCGGCCTCCGCAGAGCGGTCTTCTCCACTGGTGGCTCTGGGCTGTGGCCGGCAGCCATTTGGAGAAATGGTGCCGTCTGCCAACTGGGCAACGGGCCCTCTGGGGACACTCACATCCTCGGCCTCGCTGGACTCCTGGGCAGCCAGCCGCCTGGCTGCTCGGGTCTGCGGTCTGCGCTTCCCTCTCATTTTGACACGGCTCTGCAATGGCAAAAAGACACGGATTGATCTAATGATAAAGTAAAAAGTGTTCAAAGATACCACAGCAAAGAATCGGCAACTCAAAATATTGTAAGGTTACCAGGTCTACTTCAATCAAGATACTATCTGAGACACATAAGAGGTTTTTTCTTGAAGATTTCCAAAGAAGGAATTAAATAGCTCCTAATACTCTAAGTCATTCTTAATCCTTTAGTGTTCTCTATGTTTTAATCTTTCGAGGGCAGTTTCAGCTCAGTTTCACAGAACAAGCTTCACCTATTGCTGGAAGCCTGGAAAGTAGGATGTTGTTGCTCTGTGTCCCGTATCCCTCCCTGGCCCCGACTCTGCTCTTGATTTAAATGTGGGTTCAAAACAAGAAACAATCGGGGAATTCTGGTACTAACCTTTGTTAGGGAGCTAGTCTAAATTCAGGCTCCAGGAGCAGGGAGATATAAGACAATAAAGAGAGGTAATCTAAGCTGCTATTTTCTTCAAGTTAAAAAACACTAAATTCAAATGTTAAATATTTTACGTAAAAAATATGGCTTACGAATCAGAACCTTTCATATAACCTCAAAGACAAGTCACTTGATAGCAATGATGCAGTGTTTGTGATATTTTCCAAAATATATGTAATCAAGTAGAGTTTTAAGAGGGTATAATCAACTTTGGGCAAAGTATTAACACTTGACTGTGTTTGCCTACTTCAAGGGAATATCACTAATAATTTTAGGAAGTAGCCAATTTAAACTTAACAACAACAAAAAAAGCTAACTATAACAGAAAGAAGAATGTTTTATTTTGCACAGGGAAAACAGGTTCGGAAACACTTGAAATGAACGTATTTTCCAGGGTTAGGTCATCCTGGGTCCTGTCGCTTACTCAGAGATCAGCGAAGACTTTCTAGAAGAGGGAAGACTGGGTAGAAACAAGAAAACCAACTAAAATGAAAGAAAACCTCGAAGGGCTCACAGCCCAGTGAGGAGATCCTGTGAAATGGTGAGATGGGCAGTGCCAGCTGGGGGGTTGCGGATGCGGCAGCTCAGAGGAGGAGCACAGAGCAGGGGCACAGAAGCAGGGATGTCTGAGCAGAGGTGCAGGGGGAAGGCGGCAGGAGCTCGTGTGTTCAGGGAGTGGCACCTCGTGTGCCTGGAGCTCAGCATGCGGTGACTGGTGGGACAGCTGGATGCACAGGTTGGCATCGACTGTAAAGGGCCTTCACATCAAATCCAGAAGCCTAAATGTTCTCCTCTGGGCCAGCAGAAGGAGCAAGATCTGCTCTGTGGTTAGAGGACCCCAGGGTGGCAGTGCTCCAGAGCTTGAAGGTGGCAGACACCAGCTGAGGTGCTGGGACTTCACCACAGCCACTGAGCAGAACGTAAATGTAACAACGCAGGCCACGGACAAGTAGATGCAGAATTAGGGAGGGAAAGAATTAAGAGAGAGGAAAGGCCAAAGGAAAGATGAGGTACCTCCTTCAAATGGGGAGTTAAAGTCAGACTACTGTGCACAACTGAAGGCCCAGAAAGAAGCAGACACATGTTGTGGCTAAGAAAAGCAAGCAAGCAAGCAAGCAAGCAAAGACGGTTTCATCACCTTGTTTGCACTGTGTAAGGTGTCTGCCTGAGCTGGAAGATCGAAACTCACGCCGGCCTCCCCACTCCCAGGAAGGGTGGGCACACTTTCCAGACCACGGCTCCTTGCAGGTTCAGATGAAGGAGAAGCCAATTCTGGAGAAACACGCTTTGCTTCACAGATCTGGGGAGCCCCTGTAGGCAGCAAGGCCGCTGGGTTGATTGCTAAATTTGCCTAAAGAAGAAACATGAGACTCTGTATTTGTCCTTCAACACAGCGGTCTATGATCATTACTGTGACACAGGACAAGACTCAGTGCACATAACGTATGATACAAGAGAAGAGAAACACAGGAAAATCGCCTGATCTAGTCTCAGTATTAAACAGAGGGTCATACACCTGTGCCCACCACTGGGGTCAAAGTAAAGACATTAAAGACACAGCACACAAGAAGCAACAACTAGGTAGAAGGTGAAGGGGTTCGGAGGTGGCAAGAGATGAGAAAATGCTTGGCAGCAGCTGACAAAAGTAAAAATCCAAAAAAGTTTATAGATGTCACAAGGCAGGCAATGAAGATTCCAGACGTGTTATAATTACTTGTATTTTCCCGATCCGAGTGGATGGTTCTTTGGTTTTAAATGGAGCGAGACCTGACGAGTCCTGTGTGAAATTACATTCAGTTAAAAATCCATTGGGGAAACAGAAAGGAAAGTGTCTTTTACGCTTGTCCACGAATCTGTGACGGAGCAAGGCTGCCACTTTCTGTAGTGCTATATGGGAAAGGCATTCAAATCTCTCCTGAGGTCTCAACATTTCACTGATAGCACTTCCCTATGCCTCCTCCTCCTCCATCACGTAAGTGGAAGGCTGTCACACCATATATTAAAGGAAGACATGGATGGTGATTAAGATTCGTAAGAGCTGTAGTTTACCAGCGCGCCAAAACCTGAGCACTTGGCAAAGTCTCTCTATGTAATCTAACACAGCAAATATCAAGGAGCATACAAAAATTCACACCCAGCCTAACACACCAGTGCTAAAAGCGAAACCACCTGAGTGCTGGGAAGGGTTAGCGGAGATGTGCTAGTCCAAGAGCCTCCCTTTCGCAGCTCAGGACAGCGAGGCCTCAGTCAGACTCCCAGGAACACCTGCCCGCAAAACTGGCACTCACTCTCTGGCCCCGGCCTCTCCTGGGACAGAGAAGACTGCTGGGGAGGGAGGCCGGACAGCCACAATCTCTGGAGAAGCAACACTGAGGGGCAACCAAGAAATCAGATGTAATTTATATTTAATTCTATTCCAAGGGAGCCCAGAGGGAGAAGTAAAAGCTCTGGTGGGAATAAGCTTCTTCTAACTCCACCTTAAAATCTAATCTGGCATCAAATTCCAAAACAGTAACAATTAAGTGTAGCTTCATGAGACTCTGGAGTGTGGAGTGAGGAGAGGGGAAATGAACATGGGTAAAAAGCACAGCAAAGACAGAGGAAGCTCCGGTTGCTGCTCGCACTGCAGTGAAGGGAACTCTGAGTGACCCGGGGTCTGTGTAATGCATCTCTCTGCACTGGGACGCAGACAAGAGCTGAAGATCCTTAGAGAGATCAGTTCTGACCTGGGCTGTTTCCGGCTTCCAGATGCTTTTTTCTTTGCTACCTTGAGTGGATTCGGAATGTTTCTGGTTTTTGGAAGAGGAAACGGAGTGGTCTTTTTTCACTCCTCTCTTTTTTTCTGGAACCTTCAAAAGAAAAAGAATACCAAAATTCTGTCAAATATCTTAGAAATTTTAAAGAAAAATCGTAAGGCAAAAAAAGGAACCTGGTTTCTGAGCTTTAAAAGTCCTTTCTCAAATGAGGGTTGAACGAACTCGAAGGCAGCGTTTCGGAGACAGTATTCTAAAGACTGTGACTATCACAGGAGCCTCTCAACGGTAAGAAGAAAACAGAGAACTTACAAAACCTGCTGGGGTGGGGGAACCACACACAGAGGCTGAAACTCAGATTTAAAGCTTTGCACCTGAATGACATAAACATTTAGTCACTCTATTATATGCAACGGTCTTTCAGTAAACCATTTCAAAATCAAACAAATTTGTCAGAGAGCCTGGGTCAGTTAACGTTTAAATGTTAGTTTAGGGAACGAAAAATGGGGAACAACACAAACTGAGAGTTGCATCCTCTGTATATGCTCCTACCAGCATGTTATTTGCTGCTCATTTATTAGTAAGCACCAAGATTCTCTGTGGACTTTCCTTAACCATTTAACTCAACACGAATTTCCTTTCCCAGAAGTTTTCCTACCACTCCAGTATAGAGAACAAAAGGCTAGTACCAAAGGCTGGGACTTGGCAGAGCTGAAAAGATCATCATCTTCATCATCCCCAAAGAGGCTTCCAACACTTGGCTCTAACAACTAGAAGAGACAACACTGAAATTCAATATCCAAAAGAAAAACAATTTACAAAGAGAGCGAGGTGAGCTGCTGAGACAACATCCAGTACAATAAAGCCATGATGTGGGGAACCATTTGGAGCTGACCTTGGTTTTTTTGGTGCCGGCAAAAAGGTCAACATCTGGATCATTGTCCTTCTGGAGTTTGTGGCTGAAAAGGAGCTCTTCATCCAGGAAGACACCTGTGCTCTTGGGGCGGGCATCAGGATAGCGGCCCTGGGAAAATGAGGGAAGGTCACATGTGATTAGAGTGCTAAGATTTATCTCAAGGAAATCAAACACATGCAAAGATGGACATAATAAAGATGTCCCCGCAGCTTTGTTTGCATTGGCAAAAGGCTGGCCACAGCCTAAGGGCCAATCAGTAGGGAAATGACACATTCAAACAGAATACTACAGAGCTATCAAAAATAGTGGAGAATATATTTATAAATACAAATAACACACACAGAATCTGGAAAGATCATCTTTCAACCTTGTGTAATGTCTGAATTTTCTATTTAAAAAACAATCCATTAGTTCCATAATGGGATAGAAACACATACAATTAAGTGAGTTCTATCTCATTCCCAAAGGAAGAGCGAGCAGCTGACTCCATCTCTGAGGCCACACAGAGCAGTAAAGTGTGTATCTCTAACCCATCAGCACTGCAGGCCAAGGGCCCGGCACAGGTGTGCCCACAAGCCTTCCCCGTGTCCGTCCATCACTTCTATCCTACCTTCAGGCTACAAGTGAATTTTTTTGTTTGCTAGGATATCTGACATTTAAAAGTTACTACCAGCATTACTTGGTTTGAATAATAAAATGCTCCAGACCTGACATTCTAAAATTCACCCCTATTTCTTCTTTAGTACAACCACAGATTAACACAAAAACCCACACTTTTGACAAAATAAATCACATTAACAATTAACTAACTAACTGGTTAACACATAAAAACCAGTTTAAAACAGCAATTAAGGTTTAAAAGTTTCACAACCGTGGAAAAACAGTACAAAACTATACATAGTAAGAGACTGGAAGAAAATATAGCAAATTATTCATATTTACCTTGTGCAGCTCTCATTTATAAGTAGGGTTATACTACTGGTATAATAAAAAAAACCTATAAAACACTTTTTGTAGAAATCAATATGGACCATTTCTTCAGTTTGAGATACAAAAAGGAATGGCGATCTGTAGCCTACCTGGTTTATTTTTTAACATCTCTATTGAGATAAAATTCATACACCATAACTTTTACCCATTTAAAGTGTGAAATTCAATGATTTTTTAGTATACTCACACAGCTGCGCAACCACCACCACAATCTAAGTTGAGAGCATTCTCATCATCCACCCAAAAACCCCCAAATCATTAGCAGTCATTTTCCATTCCTGCCCACCCCCACCGCCCCCAAGCAATCATTAAACTAACCTACTTTCTGTTTTTATGGATTCTCCTATTCTGGACATTTCATATAAATGGAATCACACAATATGTGGTCTTTTGTGACTGGCTTCCTTCATTTAGCAGGTTTTCAAGGTTCATCCACGTTGTGGCATGTGTCAGTACTTCATTCTTTTTATTACCAGATAATATTCCACTGTATGGATACACTACATTGTGTTTATCCATTCATCAGTGGATGGACGTTTAAAGTTGTTTCCATCTTTTGGTTATTACGAATAACGCTGCTGAGAACAATCATATTCAAGTTTTTGTGTGAACATGTTTTCATTTCGTGTAGATATATACCTAGGAGTGGAATTCCTGGATCATGTGGTAATTCTATGTTTTGATAGTTTGAAGAACTACAGACTATCTTCCAAAGCGGTTGTCCTACTTCACATTTCCTGCAGCAATGAATGAGGGTTTCAGTTTCTCCATATCCTCACCAACACTTGTTACTTTTCTTTTTTTAAATTATAGCCGTCCTGATGGATATGAAGTGGTATCTCATTGTGGTTTTGATTTTCATTTCCCTGATGCTGGACATCTTTTCATGTGTTTTTTGGCCATTTGTATATATTCTTTGGAGAAATATCTATTCAGATATTTTGTCCCATCTTTTATTGGGCTGTCTTTTTATTATTGATTTGTAAGTCTTTTATATATTTTGGATCAAAGTCCCTTATCAAATACATGATTTGCAACTATTTTCTCCCATTTTGTGCATTGTCTTTTTACTTTCATTATGGTATCCCTAAGTACAAATTTTTTCAGTTTAATAAAGTTCAATTTGGCTATTAATTCTTCTGTCACTTGTGCTTTTGGTGTCATCTCTAAGAAGGCTTTGCCTAATCCAAAGTCATGATGATTTATTTGCTCATATATTCTGTTCCAGGAGTTATAGAGTGTTAGTTCTTACTTTTAGATCTACAGTCTGAGTTTATGTTTGTGTAGGGAATGGGTTAAGGGTCCAACCTCATCCTTTTGCATGTGGATCACCAGTGTCCCAGTACCAATTGTTGAAAAGACTATTTTATCCGTCACTGAATTATCTTGGCACTCTTGTTAAAAAAGCAATTGATAGCCAGGCACAGTGGCTCACACCTATAATCCTAGCACTTTGAGAGGCCAAGGCTAAAAAAATTTAAAAAAGCAATTGACTATAAATGTGAGGGTTAATTTGTGGACTCCCAATTCTATTGCACTGATCTATATATTTTAACCTTATGCCAGTACCACACTGTCTTGAGGTAAGTTTTGTAATGCGGAATTTTGAGTCTCCTAACTTCATCTTTTTTAAGATTGCTGGTTCTTCTGGGTCCTGTGTACTTTCATAAAAATTTTAGGATCAGCTTATCCATTTCTATAAAAAACAAGCTGAGGCCGGGCGCGGTGGCTCACGCCTGTAATCCCAGCACTCTGGGAGGCCGAGGCGGGCAGATCATTTGAGCTCAGGAGTTCGAGACCAGCCTGAGCAAGAGTGAGACCCTGTCTCTACTAAAAATAGAAAGAAATTAATTGGACAACTAAAAATATATAGAACAAATTAGCCGGGCATGGTGGCGCATGCCTGTAGTCCCAGCTACTCGGGAGGCTGAGGCAGGAGGATCGCTTGAGCCCAGGAGTGTGAGGTTGCTGTGAGCTAGGCTGACGCCAGAGCACTCACTCTAGCCAGGGCAACAGAGTGAGACTCTGCCTCAAAAAAAAAAAAAGCTGGAATTTTGATAGGGACTATATTCAGTCTGTAGATCAATTTGGGGAGTATTGACATCTTGACAATATTAAGGCTTGTAGTCCATGAACATGAGATGTCTTTCCATCTATTTTAGGTCTTCAATTTTTCTCAATGTTTTAAACTCTTTAAAGTTTTGCACTTCTTTTGCTAAATTTATTCCTAAGTATTTTATCATTTCTGTGCTATTTGTAAATGGAACTGATTTCTTAACTTCATTTTCAGACTGTTCATTACTAGTGTATAGAACTACAACTGATTCTCATATATTGGTCTGATATCCTGCAGTCTTAATGAATTTGCTTAATATTAGTTCTAATAGATTTTCTGTAGATTTCTTAGGACTTTCTATATATCGTGTCATGCCACCTGCAAGTAGACATGGCTTTATTTCTTCCTTTCCAATCTGGATGCCTTTTATTTCATTTTCTTGCCTAATTACCCTGCCTAGAACCTCCAGTGTAAGGTTGACGAGAATTGGCAAGAGTGGATATCCTTGGTCTTATTTATGATCTTAGGGGGAAAGCATCCAGTCTTTCACCATCAAGTACGATGTCAGCTGCAGGTTTTCATAGATGTTCTTTATCAACTTGAGGAAGTTCCCTTCCATGCATAATTTGTTAGGTGTTTTTATCATGAAAGGGTTTGGATTTTATCAAATGCTTTTTCTGCATCTATTGAGATGATCATGTGCTTTTTATCCTACATTTTATTGATACAGTATATTTTATCAATTGATTTTCAGATATTCAATCAATCTTGCATTCCTGGGATAAATCCCACTTCTCATGGTGTATAACCCTTTCTATTTTTTTTTTTTTTGAGACAGAGTCTTGCTCTGTTGCCCGGGCTAGAGTACCGTAGCGTCAGCCTAGCTCACAGCAACCTCAAACTCCTGGGCTCAAGCGATCCTTCTGCCTCAGCCTCCCGAGTAGCTGGGACTACAGGCATGCACCACCATGCCCGGCTAATTTTTTATATATATTTTTAGTTGTCCAGATCATTTCTTTCTATTTTTCAGTAGAGCCGGGGTCTTGTTCTTGCTCAGGCTGGTCTCGAACTCCTGACCTTGAGCGATCCACCCGCCTCGGCCTCCCAAAGTGCTAGGATTACAGGTGTGAGCCACCGTGCTCGGCCTATAACCCTTTTTATATTCTGCTGGATTGGATTTAGTAGTATTTTGTTGAGGATTTTGGCATCTACATTCATAAAGAATATTGGTGTGTAATTTTCTGGTGATCTCTGTCTAGTTTTAATATCAGGGTAATAGTAGCCTCAAAGAATGACCATCACCTATTTTTATTAATAAAATTTACTGGAACACAGTCATGCCCATTCAATTCATCTTCGTGTCTTCTAGGACTGCTTTCATGCTGCCAATGGCAGAACTCAACAGTTATGAGAGAGCCCATATGGCTTGCAAAAGCTAAAATAGTTACTATTTTACATGGCCCCTTATGGAAAAAATTTGCTGACCCCTGATAAACATGAAAGGTATATCTATAACACATATTTCTAACACTGAATGCTAGAAATACTTAAATGTATAGATCTGGCCTAATTTCGCTTTCCTGTTGCTCGTACTCCATTAATTGGCCAAAGGGTAAAGCTTTGCTAGGAGGAACAACGAGGTCTGCAAATCCCAGGAGAGGCAGGTAAAATTCTGATGCCCCATCCAACAATGCTACCTGAGGTAAGAGTCACTGATTTAGAATCCCGAACATCTAAATTACTAGAGAAAATCATTTACACTCGCACTGAAGACTAAGATTGCTTCAGTAACTCACATGACACACTTCACACCATTCTTTTAGCTCGTCTACAGATGTGACCTTTACTGCTTTTGGCTCACCTTTCCTACTTCTTTCTGTGGAGTTGGGATGCTGTTTTGATCTTCCATTTTATCCTCTTCCTCATCAAACAAGCTAAGAACAGTTTTGGTTCTACCCTTGGTTCCTTTGTCCAATGGGGATGGTGAAGAAAATACATCAGAATGCTTGACTGCTTCCTGTGCAAATCCAGTCAAAAGTCCTTCCTGAAAAGGAAAAAATATAATAACTGGGAACACAAATCCTATAATGGACCCCCCCCCAGCTCCTCATTAATTCCGTAAGTGCCACATTTGCATGGTTCAGGGCACTATAGCTAATCACACAGCAAAACACTGAGGTCAATTCTTGACTGGCTGCCCCAGTGGAGAGTCTGATCCATAGCAAAGATAATTTCTGAAGTCAGTTTAAGGCCGTGGTCCTTCCCTCCTACCAAGTGATAAAACAGTCATAACCCTGACACATTGGTTGCTCATGAGCTGGAAAAACTTCTAAGTAGTAGAGATAACACATGCCAACCACTGGGAGTGGGTCATGTATTTCCTAGCATTTAACTAACACACAAGACTGAAGGGGAAACCTGCGCAGTAAAATCAGAGTGCTTAAATTGCAGAAGGCTTACACTGTATATGGAACTGAAGAATCTCTAAAGTAATTCTAAAATGCAGCATTTATTCATTCAACAAGTACCACACTTCAGGTAAGATATCATTGATCATAAGAACTACTATTATTGTATGTGCCACCAAGAAAGAAAAATCACTACCAATTAAAGATGCATTGGTTGTGAGGTACACCCCAATTTCGGAGTGGTTAAACTGTAAAAAAATATGTTTTGAAGAAATACATAACTTATAATAGTGCCTACTACATGCAAGGGAATATGCTAAGTGCTACAGACACAGCAGTGAGCAAAACAAACCTGGCCCCAACCCTCAAGGCGCTCACACTAGTGAGGGAGAGGGCAGGGCAACACGCAGTCAGAGTCAAGCGTGGACTGCGCTAGGACTGGGGTAACTCGGGTCCACACACAGCCACCGGGAAGAGAACGTCACACAGTGACACAGGGACAAATAGAACACTTGCATCACTGGAGCTCCAAGGAGCCTCAGAAGGAAAAGTAAATGCAACGCTGTTCACATAGGCCCTGGGAGGAAGATTAAGCCCAAGCGGCTGGACACACAGAGTACAAGAAAAATGACAAAAGAGAAGAGGTGCACAGAGACTGAAGGTAACCAGGAGGCTGCTGCCAGGCGTGGCCAGCGTTCCCACAGGCCTCCTGCGAGAGGTGGCAGCCCACTCGGGAGATGAAAGACGGCGTTTCAGAAGAAATACAAATTTCATTCTGTTCTGTAATTCATATAATTCATCAAATAAACATAAAAAGTGCTAAGCTAAACTAAAATCTTCTTAAAGGAGTTTGAGACCAGTCTGAGCAAGAGCAAGACCCTATCTCTACAAAAATATGGAAAAATTAGCCAGGCGTCCTGGTGCCTGTCGTCCCAGCTACTTGCAAGGCTGAGGCAGGAGGATCGCTTGAGCCCAGGAGTTTGCGGTTGCTGTGAGCTAGGATGACGCCACGGCACTCTAAGTGGGATGACAGAGCAAAACTCTGCCTCAAAAAGAAACCCTGACATTTTAACTGAAGTACAGGCGGGGACTAGAGGAGAACCACGGGTAAGAAGAATGCTACGGAGAAGAGAACAAGTCAGAAAGAGCAAAGATGCCAGGCCGTGCCAGTAAGAATGTGCAGACGTTCTGTCCACACATCCTACAGAAGTATAGGAGGGCAGCAGAAAAACACGAAGGAAGGGGTGTGTGTGTGTGTGTGTGTGTGTGTGTGTGTGTGTTTAAAACAACATATGAGAGGCAAATGCATTAGAGAAGACAAGAGAAAAAATCCACCTTTTCTGACTCCTCGGCCACATCAGTTTCCCCAAATTCCGGTGATGCTTTGGCACTCTCAACCTTCTTATCCACAGGCTTCACTCCAAACGGTGCTTCCTTCTCTTCATCACTGAACAGCAAAGGTGGCACCACAGGGACAGCTTCTTTTTTCTACCAAAAGAAGAGTAAATGACATCCACAACAATAAAAAAAGTGTGCTGACTAGGATGGCAATGCACAGAACAAGCCCAAACCAGTCCTTGTAGGGTGTCAGCTAAATGCGGTGGTGGGAGAGGACAGGACAACGAAATAGTGAAGGTGGCACCAACAGGGGAGCAACACACACCACTACCTCAGCCCTGCAGGTGGGGCGCCTTGCGCCGCCACATCGACGCCATCTGTCTCCTCATGTCTATGGATCCCGCACCACCCTCGCTCGGGTCCTTACCTCTGCCAGCAGACAGTTCCCAGTCTCTCTCTCTGCCTTGCTCCTCTTACATCACAACCATAAGACAGCATCCAGAGTCGTCTCGCTAACACAGAAACACCTGCCAGATTACATCATCTCCACCCCTTGCATGAAGCAAATGGCAATCTACAGACACCCCAACACGCTGTCCCTCTACTCATCTGCACCCCCTCATTCCTTGCTATTCCTTAAACATACGGCAAACTTTCACATCATGCTGCCCTACTGTCTGCAGAAGCACTCCCCCCACCTTTCAAGCAAGCCCAGCTGAGATGTCACCACGAAGGTCTTCCTGCTCTCTTCGGTAAGTGTCAACTGCTTCACAGGATAGACATGTTACTGAGATCTCCACTTGGCCCTTACTTGACTTTCTTCCTAGCTTAGTAACGACCAGCACACATCTGTTTCTCCACTTATCTGTAAGGAGCATAGACTGTATTCCCCCGGCCAGTCGCAACATTTCACGCCGAGTCAGTGCTCAACACAACTTTGCACGCACTTCGGCCCATCTCTCGTCTCTTTCTTATCCGGCAGGCAGGGACTTAGAGACCAGAAAACTGAGGTAGGGGGACTTACCTAGAGGTATCAGCATCTTTGGGGCAAGTGACTTATGAACAAGTTCTTGAAAAAATCTAAAACTCTATCACGCTAACCAGACTAGATGCTACGAGAAAGTACACCCCAAAGCAGTGCCTAACTCAAGCTAGGGAGGCAGATTTGGGAAACTAAAGGAGGACATTACTAACCATGATAGAAAAAAGTGCCGAATGAAGGAAGAACAGGGTAGGAATTTTTTAGTTATTGTTAGGAAGAAATCCTTAAGATGCAAAATCATTTGAACATGATATAATAGAAGACTGCAAGTTCATGAAGAATTTCAGAAGAGGTAAGGCAACACTGAAGCGATTAAAGGAAAAAATTTTTTGTGGAACACACTGGACCCATGAAAACTACATAAAATTTTAATGTAACAAGTAGACTGGGGAGAAAAAAAGAGACTAAGTATGTCAAAACATATTCTCTCATCATATAAACCAAGGAAAATGCCACCCAAAGTAATAGTCTTAAATCTTCCTGGAGATTAGCTGACTCTTCATCCTTGTCATGAAATTTATTCTTTGACAGGTCTCGGAAAAAGGAAAATCTGAAGAAACACTGAGACGGCGAGTGTGAGGTCTAACACGGCTGCAGTTTGGCCATGGGGGTAACAGCCACCAGGCCTAAGCACTCGGGCCGGACCTCCCCCACAGCTTCACTGTCAGCTATTTTGCTGGCACAGACCAATGACACCCTTGTCTATCAAATGTGGCCCAAAGGCAGGACAGAATCCATCATCCCTCTCCAGACCCTAAGATGCCTGCATGCTCATTAACCTTTGACTCTGTATCTGTTAAGCACACTCTTGCTTTGTCTTATGTACAATGTCACTGAGCACCAACCAGAATCATTAAGAATGTCACCTTTGCCTCCCTGCCCCCTCCTCCCATTCTATGTAACAGAACACGCAAACGCTGTGCCTTGTGCAGCCCACTCTGGGCGCACTCTTGGTTTGTGATGGGTCTGTGTCTCAAGCTTGGCTCAGAATAAAACTCACTTTAAATTTTTTTAAGTTCTAGTACCTGTTATGGCATACGTGGTCACATTTAACTTACTTTAAGATATCTCTAAGCAAAAAGTATCTTTTATCTACTGTTGTCTAAAGGTGGTTATATTTCACAAATGGTCAAAAACGTGTGCAGGCTGTTCAGCTACTGAAGACGTATGTCTTGACCTTCTATTTAACAATCACAATAACCATAGATTGAAAGAAGTCTTACATTTTTAGAGCCTTCAAAATTCACTAAATTATTGCTCATTTATCCTCCAGTGTAGGGTATTTGTAAGTTATAAAGAAAAACCAGTCTCCTGACTCTTTTAACCACGGAGCCACTGGATTTCCTCTTTAGCAAGACGTGAGTACAGATGACCTGAGGAGGGGACCACCAGGCCCTCAGAAGCAGCGGGAGGGAGCCAGGGGCCAGCCGCGTGCTTCCCCAGGCTGACAGCTTCCAGCACGAGCTGTGCAATCCCACGTAACGGGAAGGCTCTTCTTCCATACCTCCTAGATACTTTGTGTTTAAAGCTTATTTTTAATTCCACAGTAATGCAAGAATGCCTTCTTTAAGAAGGTTTAAAAATGCATAGAGAGTATAAAGCCCCCATTCCATACCCTTTCCTAGATGTGATCAATGGTAACAATCCCTTCCGGCCTGTTTCTAGGCATTCACATGTATTTATTGATTATTTAAATGAGATCATTTAAAGATCTCATTTAAAGAGACTAAAGAGATCATTTAAAGAGAAAAAAAAACTTTTATGCATCTTCTTTTGTCCTGCAGCATATTTTTCATTCTTCTCACTACGTAGTATTCTGCAGTGTAACCGTACCAGGACTGTGTCACCTTAAGGTTCATGCATGTCACAGCACATGTGAGAATTTCCTTTTTACTGATTGGCTACTAATAGAAAAAACCAAGTTTCTATCAGTACTTGAAATAAACTCCCAATAGGAATACTCTGTGCCTTAACTAGCCTAGTTGGATGCCAGCGGAATTCCATGCCCCTTGGGCTGAGTCCCCTCTGAGGCTCAGTTTCTTGTCCCCACCCGACACTGAAAGGGCCGTATGACGTGGAGGAATCCTTTTCTTTGCGCTCTGCACGTGTGCTTGATCTGTAGACTACCACTAACCAGAAGATCTCTTTCTAAACTAGTCAAATAGGTTCTCCCCTAAGACGCGGTTCTCCACGGTCAGCTCCGAAGACCTGATTTGTGGAGGCGTCACTATGCAGCACAACCTCAAGGACTTCTCCCAGGTCTGTGAGAGCAAGATACCGTTGCTGCAGGAGTAGCAGAGGTGGGCGGAGAGCCAAACAGAGAGCCTCCACTGTCAGCGTCGTCTTCAAAGAGGAGTGACACTCTCTGGGTCTTCTTTTGGCTACACAAACAAACACAAGGTCAAATTAAAGGCAAATGTGATACTTCAGAAAACAAAAATAAAAACAATATTCCTTCTGGGCCACACCTACAGAAACCCACTTACCACCAAAACACCCCAGTTATCAGTTGACCTGACACAAGTGAAAGCAAACAGAACAGACCTCTTAAGTAGGTGAAATCTGTCTGTAGCAAATCATCAGCTTCTGTCCCCAACCCATGTCAAAGAGTCCGGGGGCCTCCTCATCTTGCCCGTTTCCCATCACTGCCCACTGGGGGCAGGTGCCCGGGCACACGACATTGCCAGCACTCACTGGTACAGCACCCTCCCTCGCCGCTTCCTACAGCACAGGAAGAACCGCAGAGTGGACGTGCCTACTTCCAGAGGTCAGGAAGGCAGTTGCCAAGAGAGATCACGGGACCAGGGCAAGCGTCAGGAGGTGTCCTTGTGGCCTGGCTTCTATTCGTTTTTTCCTACTAGCTTTATTGAGATATAGTTTACATACCATACTATTAACCCTGTTAAAGCACACACCTTGGTGGTTTTTGGTACACTCACAGAGTCGTGCAACTATCACAATCTAAGTTCACGACATTGTCAGCACCTCAAAAAGAAACTCCGTGCCCGTGAGCAGTCACTCCCCCTTCTCCGCTTCCCCCAGCCCCTGGCAACCACTAATCTACTTTCTTCTCTACGTGTTTATCTACTGCGGACATTTCATATAAATGAAACCATACAATACGTGGTCTTCTGTGACTGGCTTCTTTCAAGTTACTTAAACTTTTGGCTACTATTAATAATGCTGCAATAAATGTTCACATACAAGTTTTTGTAAGAGCTTATTTTAAATTTCTGTTAGGTATACACCTAGGAGTGAAATTATTGGGTTATATGGTAACTCTATGTTTAACATATGCCAAACTATTTTCCAAAGTGGCTGCACCATTTTACATTTTCCTCAGCAGTGTATGAGGGTTCCAATTCCTCTGCATCCTCACCTAGACTTATTATTGTCTGTATAAAGCTTCTTTTGAGATCTGATTAAAGCTATAAATTATTTCCCATACACAAAATCTTACAGACAACTTCAGGAACAGGAGGTAGAATGAGTGTGGAGCAGAGAAAGCATTACTGAAAGCCAGGCATTGTGCGCGGCGAGGAACAGGACCCGGAAATGAGACACACTTCCAACTGCTAAACTGATGGCCGTGTGTGTGCACTGGGGGGGAGGGGTTGGGGGCACACACGTGAACAGGTAACTTCACAACAGCGTAGAAAATGCTCAACTGCAGTAAGGCCACAGAGGCCGGCATAGGAAGGGGAAGCCCTGTCTGTGCTAGAGTCTCCCCCTGTTTCTACTCCTTCTCATCCGTTTGGGGTGGGGAAGGCTTTTAAAGGGAAGACTTACACTGAGTCTCAAAAGAAGCTGGCCAGGTAAGACAGGAAGACAACTATCCCAGGAGACAGCAACAAAAATAAAGGAATGAAGTATTTCCCCTGTACTCACGATGATACATGGCGGTATCTGAGTACCCACAGTGTACCAGCTAGTAAGCTAAACATTCACATTTAGATTTCATCTAACCATCTCACCAATCCTATGAGAGAAGTACTATTATTATTTTTGCTTAACAGATGAGGAAAAAGAGGCACAGAGAAGTCTGGTAACTTGCCCAAGGTTATTCAGACAGGAACTGGCAGGGCCAGAATTTAGTATCAGATATTGGGATTCCAAGTGTCAACTGTGGGGGCCTAAAGTAGCAACAGTGATGACTGAAGAGATCACAATATTTGGAGACAGAAATTTGAGATACTTTCACTCTATCGAATAAAGCTTAACCGCACCAGCGCACAGGATTTACATGTCTGATCGATTACCTCTTTATGCTACAACCACTCGGCTGAATTTCCAAGTAGTGGTGTGAGGCCCTCAAGAGGAGAAAAGAGTACTTACAGGCAAGTTATTCCGAATCCACAAGCTAGTCTGGCAGCACGTTACATCAACCACAGCCCACGCTCACTCTGAATATCCTGCCAGTTTGAGTTCAAGCATTGATGTGGGGAATCCTGGACCTCAGGCTGGTAACACTTATGTTATCAACACCTGGTGGGATACTGCACAGCCCCGCAGAGAACCATCCTTCCAATAGGATGTTTTCTTTTTCTTTTCCTTTTTTTTTTTTTTTTTTGACAGGGTCTCACTCTGTTGCCCTGGTAGAGTGCCGTGGCGTCAGCCTAGCTCACAGCAACCTCAAACTCCTGGGCTCAAGCCATCCTCCCAGCTCAGCCTCCCAGAGTGCTGGCATTACAGGCATGAGCCACCACACCCAGCTAATTTTTTCTATTTTTTGTAGAGACTGGGTCTCGCTCAGGCTGAGACTCATGAGCTCAAGCGATCCTCTCACCTCAGCCTCCCAGAGTGCTGGCATTACAGGCGTGAGCCACCGCGCCCAGCCCAACAGGATGTTTTCAATGCTGGGCAGACTCCTATCCAGATGACAAACTTTTAAGTAACTTTGTCCAAACTTTACATTCGTTAGGGTAGCCCAGAGAAAAAAACAAAAAGAAAACAACAAACTGTACTTAAATCCTGTCAAACTAAGAAAAAGAATATTTTAAGGTTAAAAAATAATAAGGAGAAGAAATCAGGTGCGGATCCATGAAGAGAAACATTTCCCAGGACTGGGGAGAAGACTTTGCAAGAGAAAAACAAAGGCGTTCTCCTTTGTATGACAAATAAGTGACTGATGATTAGCAACCACTGGAGGAACTATCTTTGGCATCAAATACCTTTTCTTGTTACCACAGACACTGGGCAAATGATTTCTTACAATGACTATCTCACCTGTCCTTAGCAATAGCAAACAGATCATCGTCATCATCCTCTTCAAAGAGACTGGTCTTTTTCACAGCCTCCTGGCCTTGGATGGTCCCAGAGTCCTTGGGTTCTCTTTTAGACCTGCTGTCAGATGCTGAGCTGGTCTGTGAATCAGTAATATTCCATTGGTCCTTAAAACATAAAACATGTATTAAAAATCCAGTGGCAATTTAGATTATAGGACATGAGGAGTAAAATAAAATTCACGTTTGTTAAACTAAGTATTAAACATATCTCTCTTGAAGGAAGCTCATGGCCAAGATCCTTTGCTGAACTCAATCTAGACAGCTGGGTTCTCTGACCTCACAAAGCTTCTCAGGCCTTCCCCTCCACCTGCCATGATGTTTCTTCCCTCTGTTGTTCTGTCCTGTGTTAGGACAAGGCAACTTGTCTATTTTTGGGAATCAACATTAATTATAAACGGGTAAGAAGGAAGAAGAATGTAAAAAAATCAAGAACTCTCAACTCTGGGAGAAGAATATTTTAATTTAAAAAATCCCAAAGCAGACTGCAAAAAAAAGATATAAAAAGCTCAAGCAACATGCACATAAACAAAACACAATGAAAAACTGCTAATGATCCTTTTACCACAAAAGTCTGAACTCGGCCTTTAGAAAGCATTTAAGCCATTCCACCTGGCTATGCTCACCCCTTCAAATCACGGAACTCTCAGGCACTTGCTTACGCAGTCCTTTGACCTCTGGAGTCTAGAGCTTTGCAAATCA